CTTGAGTTGAATCAGTCATTTCCTTATATTTTTATAAATAAATTATTTTGTAACAAACACTTTAGGTTAGAACATTTAAAATACTTGATATTATTTTCTTAATAAAGTGTGTTACTGTTTATATGTCAGAAACTAATGCGGGGCTATAATAATGTCAGGCTGTCTCCTTATTGTTCTGTTCTTTGTGAATATTTCTGTTATCTAGGTGATCAGATTACGCTTCTATCATAATGAACATGTCATAATCGTTGCTACATAACAGCCTAATGTTTGCTGACAGTTGCCCCTGACCGAGGTGGTTGAGCCCGTGGACTTTGAGGAGTATGTGAGCAGTCACCCTCCTGGGGTGGAGCTCGGCCCCCTCAGACAGCTCATGGAGTTCCCTCAGGATGACCTTGAGCTCCTGCAGCAGGAGAAAGAGTGCACTACACTGGAGCCCCCTCTGCCTGAGGAGGAGGAGTAAGTCCAGCTGCTATTAGACAGCTCAGGCTTTATTATTTAACCAGCAATCTCTCTGTTACCTAATGCACAGTATGCACTGTAATGGAGAGGACAAAGCCTTTTCCTTTGATAGTGAATCAACATAAATATTAATGCATGCTTTTCTAAAATATTAGTGTTTTTCTATGTAGCTCTCTGGATCCGAGAGTGAGAGATGCCTTGGCAGTCTACACAGATGACTGGCTTGTTATTCATAGAAAGTAAGTGGCTGCAGTTGTTCTGTGAAAAAAAAAAACAAGTTTCGTTTGCTGTCAGTTGTTAATGTTGTTCACACTGYTGCCTGTTTACGTTTAACATTACGGGTAGTTTCCATTTTACAGCGACTCAATTATTCATTTCTTCTTTGTCTCCTGTAGATTTCAGCGCTACAGCACCACATACACCCCTCAAAACTCTGAGCGACAGAGGGAGAGGCAGCGAGGTCTGGTCAAACAGACCTTTGAACTGGATGAGGCTGCTGCCTCTGAGCGCCAGGACGACCAGGTAGCTGATATCGATGTTTTCAACCCTCTGAGGTCGTCTTGTTGTAATCTTGTCAGCGTCCGTAATGAATAGGAGAAATTATCTGCTCTCTTTATTATTTTACTTATTTCTCTCTTCTTTATTCGATTGGTAAGAATATAAAAGTGCGTGCTCGTGTGGTTTTCAGGATGACTCAAAGCGGCGATCAGTTAACCTGGACGAGACTCCTCGGGGGAGCTGGGCCTCCAGCATCTTTGACCTGAAGAACTCCTCCCCAGATGTGCTGCTCCCGTCTGTGCTGGAACGAACAGCTGCAGAGGACATGGACCGCCTCAACACCGAGGCACGCTCGCAGGGGCGCCACAGCGACCTGCTCGGCCTGTACCCTCCCCCTGACGAGGTTTGTGTTGTGCAGGCTTGTGCAGAGAAATCAGATCCTGTGAAAAAAGTAGCAAATAAATTCATCTAAATGGTTCCAGAATCATTTTTAGGTGAAGTTTTTTCTAGGTACTATTAGTTTTTACCATTAATACCTTTGTTAAAGGGCCCCTGACATCAAATTTTTGCTATAAATGTGAATGGATTTTTGAAAAGATAACGCTGATAACATATTGGAAAAACAATTTTTCAGCGGCTGAGATGAACAGTTGTTGAGATATTTGCATTTGAAGTAACAGGAAGTGATGTCAAAGGGGAATGTCTGCATGCGAACAGAGCGTTGCTACAGTGGCTAACACAAACTGTAGAGGAGAATATTTCCTTTGATTCATTTGAGTCACGAGAGAGATGACGACTAGGAAGTTCCTGTTCTCAAAGAGTTCCCCTTTGTTGTCACTTCCTGTTTCATTTTGGCTGAGCCAAATTCAAAAGAAAACATGCCAGTTATGTGACAAAATGGGTAAAGTTGTGTGTATTATGCCAAGTTTCTTACAAATACGTATAAAGATGTTTTATAGACCTTTTGTATGTGAAGGATATGCATGTCACAGGCACTTTGAAGTCAGATGACATTAATACATTCTTTTAGATATTAATAATAATTTACATGATTATGGCAATTAAAAAATATTTTATCACAAACTACTTCAAACTTGGGAGCTCAGTTTTCCACTGTTTGTCACACTTAAGTGTTTCGGAACATCAAACCAATTTAAACAATATTCAAGGACAACACAAGTAAACACAAAATGCAATTTGTAAATGAAGGTGTTTATTATTAAAGGAGAAAAAAA